GCGTGACCTGAAACTTTCACAGGTCGCGACGACAGACTTGATGTCTGACTTCCGGAACTGATTGCTCGACTCATCGTGACACAGACACTGCCAGCAGATCTGCAATGGCCGGTCCATCCAGTCAGCATACTCGACCTGCTGACACTCCAGGCCATTGTCCAGAATGTCAGCAATGGCCGGGTCCGACATCCAGGCTGGCGTGTCTGACGCCGACGCTGTCTTGCCTTCAGCAAGCAGCGACGTCCGGATGCCTAAGTCCGTCAACGTCAGCCCCCTAACTATTGCTAATACTGAAGACAAACATTGCTTTAGATCAGAGCCTGGCTGCCTTTGACCTTGACAAAGGCCGCGACACTCTGCTTGCCGTTGTCGATCAAGCGTCGTGAGTCGACGGCCGACAAGTCACTCGGACCCAGGATGGTGACGCCGACAAACAGACTCTGACCCCACTGACCGGAGGTGATGTTGTCGACCAATCCATCGACACAGACACTGTCGATGGATCTCCATCCGCTGTCGTGCTCAAGGGAGAGGTCCTCCAAGGGGATCTTGACCAAGCACTTCTTGGTCGGTGCCACAAGCTTCCTGGCCATCGCGACACACAGACGCAGGCCGACCCTGGAAGACTAGCTGACACGCTGACCACTGAAGCAAAAGTGCCACGGGCAGACATGCTCCTGCAATGTATGCAACGCTGCCACACACCCGCATGGCACAAGCTTCAGCACTGCGACTCTCATTTTCTTGAAACCTCTGCGACGCGCTTTAAGTTCTTCGAATGTACGACACTGACACATGACACAAACGTCATGGCGCTGGAAACCCCGCTCAGCTGCTCAGGAAAACCGCATCGACGCCAGGCACACAGCCATCACACTGCCGACATTGGCAACGTGCATGGCGTTGCCCAGCAAGGGAATTGTGAGCCGAGCCGCCTGGGTATCTTGCTCTACCCCCAGAGCTGCCGCAAGCTCAGGCCGGGTGGGAAAACCGAAGCAGGCGGCAAGCTCACACGCGAGCAGGAACCTGAGGCGGCTAGTGGTTCTTTCAGTCGCTGATTCCGTACTACTAGTTGCTAGTCTGGTCTAGTTGACTCTTCCTGGGTCCTACCATTGTTGCTGAGAGACCGTTTCCTGGACGGAGACCAGAGCTTCGCCCCAGCATGTCGAGTCGTCGGCAAAGCGCCGCCAGAGAGAGTCCAGCTGGTCCGCTTAACGGGGTTTTGTGACAAATCGAAGAAGACATAATCCTGATCTGCATCTCCTGTAGTAAACGGGAAAGGCGCTTGACTAAGACAATATACTATTTCGCAGAGAGTTTGTCACTCAAATCACACACGCCTTGCTTCTGTTGGCGCCGGGCAGTGAAGTCGGCGAGACGTTGCTGCTCCGCGTCTGACAACCTTCCCGACAACATGAGTTGCGTGTCTGAAGCAATAGCGTAATGCTGCTGAGAACCATCTCTCAAAATCTAAATCTGGTTTAACTTATCTTTCAGCGATAACTGTAACTAGCAACGAGAAATGGAGAGACTGGTTCCAGGTAGGGAACAGATACGTCCAGTCACACGCCGACATCGAAGCTGGTTCGAAGCCTCTTCGCCGACGCAGATCATTCTCGGCTGCCAGACACTCCTCCGCAGAGGCGATCAACGCGGCCGCAGCGTTCGGCCTGTCGACTCTGGCATTGAAGTAAGCCTTCACCCGGTCATACGTTTCTTGGAGGTCCACAGCCAGGTGAACCTGCTCCTTCCGAAGCAGGAGGACGTAGAGACGAGGCCGCGCTATCATCGTGAAGCCGACGTCCGACGGGCTGACACGTAGTGAGTGGATGCTGTAAAGGTCAGATAACAGCTCCGTGCACAATCGCAAGGGTGGAGATCCTGCACTCACCCATTGATTGATCCAACACATTATAAACCATTGTTTGAACAAGCGAACTGTAGCACTACGGGCCTCCAGCAAGCCGACATCGAAGTCTTGGACGTTTTCATGCAAGGCCCATTGGACTGGATGCTGGCCTCAGACCAGATGAGTAGGATGGGGCAGAATCAACACCGCTCCATTCATCCGTTTGTCAAAGCAAGCTGACAGACAGAATCAGAATAAAGCTCTGAGATGCGGTTCCGTCACGCATCTTGTGTGCCCAGACCAGAACCGCAAGCACCCGAGGGTCATTCCGACGCAGACGTCGGCCAGCTCTGCTGAAGGGCTGGCAGGGTGACCCCGATATGTCTGCATTCGCACCCCAAGCATTGCAGAGATGTCCATGTTTGAGGCATTGCTGTAGACACAGGCGCTGGCCCGCAAGGGACTTCCAGACATCCTCAACGATCAGGTTTCCCGCACGGACCTCTCGCACGTCAGAGATGCAGTGCGTGACGTCGTTGAAGATGCAGGCATGTGTATTCTGCAGCCTGGCCTTCAAGATATCGACGCAGGAACGGGCCTTGTCCACGACAAAAGCCGTTGTCCACGAGGCTGACCCTGCCACAAATTGCGGCAGGTTAGCATGGACGACGCCGACGGCCACTTCCACTGTGCCCACACCAGAAAAGTGGCTGGACACTGTCATATCTCTGGTAAGCCCACTGCCTCGGAAACCGGTGATATCAACACATAATTGTTCTCTGTCTTTGGAAGACCAAGACGATGAAAAACAAATACTTGTTTGTCCAAGACACCGGCCATTCCTTCTGGCCCAAACATCTGACACAGACATGCCAGAAGTATCTGGGGCCATCGGAACGCGGACTCCAGTGCCGACACCGACACTTGAGGAGCAGTTCTCAAAGCAACATTCCGACCCTGCTGAAGCGCATCATCCAGCCGGCGTTTGTGGGGCTTTGCCGACGAGGACGACGAAGCAAGTTCGACGTGGTCCTTGCCGGTGTTTCAGTGACGGAGCCCCAACAATAACAAACAGAGGCTCCAGCAAAAGACATTTTGCATTGTTGTCGAAACCAAGCCACATCATCCTCTGTAACATCCATCTGGGCTGATGCCGTGTCATCATCCTTTTCATGCTGCATGAAGCTACAGGTAGACTAATTCATTTATTCATTAGTTAGTTGCATATTATATGCAGACATATAATATACAGACTGCCGGAATGGATCAAACTCGGACCGCAATATCACCGTCCTCGTCAAAGACAAAGAGTCCACTGTCGGACTCATCATCAGCAATGTCCATGCTGGCACCTTTGATAGTGAAAAGTTGTCACGCATAGTCTTTGTGGTCGACACAATCCCACAATATCACGGATCTCTCCCTCTCTCTCTTCTCTCCCTTTTTGCAAGAAGCACGCTGTGTCTGACTTGTCACGGGCTCTCTCAACTTGAGTTTTCAAAGGAGAATGCCGATAAGACTGTGAAACGTCACTTCGTGAAGCGGGCTGACAGCCCATTGGTCTGACTGACGCCGAATGCATGAGATCTACCCGGCAGCTTTCGGCTTCGTTTTGGCGCTTTTGGCCTTCGCCGCTGCAGTCTGGGTCTTAGCCTCAGTAGTTGTCGAATTTGTTGCACTACAACTACTAAGTCTAAGTCTCGTCCCTTTCTTAACTTATTGGCTCTAGATTCTAGTCTAATGGACGAAGGATAGGAAACCATGCCAAAATAAGGAAACCATGCCAACAATCCGGGGCAGGAAGCTTTTGCGGCCATTGACCCCGACGCAGGCATTGAGGCTATCGACCCCGACGAGGCAGGCTTTGCGGCGGTCGACCCCGAAGACGCCGACGACGCAGGCGCCCAGCTGGCAGAAGACCAAGTCTCCGCCCGCTGGGACTTCCATGCCTTGCCATCGTCTGACTGCAGCCACTCCCTCAGCCGATCAGTCTCCATGGCCGTCTGCTTCTTCCTGGAGACCGACGCTGACACTGGGAGGGCATCCAGCACGCCCTTGTTCGCCAGCTGACCCTGAAGCTGGTCCATCAGCCTGTCCACGCTTGCCGGCAGCTCCGCCTGCTTAGACGCAGACTTCAGCCGTCGGATCATGGTCCTGTTGGTGACGCCGACGGCTGAGGGCATGTCCACGGGACGCAGCAGGTCGAAAACGTCCTCTTCGTCGTAGCGGGCCGCGGCATCCAGGCCGACGCTGTGGAACGTCGACGCTGTCGCATCCAGCTGACGAACACGGGCCAACGCCGACTCAGACGCCCAACGCCGTCTGCTGCGTGTCCTCTCCTTCAGGCTCCGATGACCGAGTATACGAAAAAATTACATCACTGCCTACCTACTATTAATACTTATTATTATACAGGCTGTTGCCAGATTCGAACAGCAGCAGAAAGGTATAAAATTTTCTGAAAATGGCCATCAGATTCCATGACAGCAGACACCTCCTTCACGATGAGCTCGTCCCGCGGGTTCCCCAAGACATTGACGCGGGCGGCCGACAGCAGGAGCTTGTCGACGTAGACCCTGGGAGCCATGTGCTCCCGAGGATTCCAGTGCAGATGAGCGATGGAGCCAAGTCTTTCAACGATGGAAGAGGCTGGATTCAGCATCCGATACCTGTGGTGAATGCGACCCGCGTGCCACGCCGATACTGACCCCGTAGCAGACGCTGACGGCTGGCCCACATGGAAAAACTTGTGCATGTCGACTGTAGCACTGACAGCTGCAGAGTTGACTGCGAACTCCTCAGTTCAAAAAATTGGACCCGGCATACAGCCACATATTTAACATCAATAATCACGATGCTTATGTTTTCTTTCGAAGCTTTATCGTGGCCGAGCCCAGAATCCATCGTGTCGACAACGACAAGCTTGCCACAGTGGGATCCTTGGCAGATGGTCGCGATGCTGCCGACTGCCATCATCTGCATGTCCAGGATATCACGCTTGCGCTTCTTTCGCATTCCCCCGACAGGACCCAAACCTCGCGCACACAGTCTGGCACAGGTTCAAGAGAACATGCCAAACATTCATGAAGCTGACACTGAAACTAATCACCACCGAGCACATGGCAGGAGGGCGACAGCTGGAAGACCTCGTAAGCTGAAGCCGGCAAAGTCGAACCGGCAACTGACCCACAGAAAAGAGAGATGGCCGAAGCAATCTTCTTCAGTGAGACGACGCTGACGGATGGGCTCCTGATCTTCTTCCCGACCAACGCCTCGACGCTGCCCAGCACATAGAGCGATCTCACGCTGACGGACTGCAGGACGAACCATTCTGCCACCGCAGTCTGCACTTCCTCCGGCGCCGTCTTTTGCTTGCTGCCGTCAAAGCTTCCGCTCCAGCCCTGACGCCGGAATGCTAGGGAAGCCGTGCATCGGACTCTCTCACAAAGCCAACCATATTGCAGCAGCAGAACATTCTCTGGCAGGTCCCATGTCCTCTTGACCAGGGCATAGTCAGACGCTGACGCTGGTGGCCAGAGCGAATGCTGCAAGAAGGGCTTCAACATGCCCAACACATTGCGGAAGGCGTCCGCGTGACGCTTGAGAGGACGCTGGAAGCAGAGGAACCCCCAATCGAAGCAATCATCACAGGCGTCCAGGACTTGCAGCATCTCGGCATTGTAGGCTTTGTTTGTCAGGCCTTCAGACAGCTGACCGATGCTGTCGATGACAAATTGACGCATTGCCGCTAGGCCTTCCAGGATGTGACGATGCGACTCATAGACACCCAGTGGAACCTTGCATCTGGATGTCCATGAGCAAGGGCACGCACCCCTGCGGCGCCACGCCACCAAACCATCTGCGTCAGTATGCGGGCAAGAGCTAGCCCTGCGATCACGAACATGGACCCTGAAGATGTTCGTAACACCTTGTTGCTGGCTGGCCTCCTCGCGTGTAACCAGCTGGTATCGGGGCATGTGGCAAGGCCAGTTGGAATCCAATCTTGCATTCGTCCAGAGGGGCACCTGCAGTCTCACCTCAGAATATCATCGCCCGTCAGTCAAGCAAACCAACGACGTAAAGGACAGAAGCAGCGTTGATGATATCAGAAAAGTTTTCCCTCAAGAGCAATGCCAGCAACAACATTACACCACAAACAGACCAAGGTGACTAACTGCGTTCGCCGCCGTCGTCCTCCCAAAGTCGCAGGTAAATTCAGAGTCCAAGACATCCTGTTCGACCTCGCAGCTTCCTGCCCACGCCCTCGCAGGTGCCGGGCTCGCATACCACATTGACAGTGTGGGCCCAGAATAATGCTTGCTGGATCGCTTTCGTATAGCCGGGTCAGACTACAGCCTCCAAAGCTTGGATTCCTGTCGAAGATAAGGGGCATCAGCCGCGGCAGCAGCATGCGACACGGACGTAGAGCTGACCAACTGAACATCGCCTTGGCATAGCTCCGCAAGTCCGACTCGCCGACGTGCTGACGCAGCAAGCAAAGGACAGTGAGAAAAACCGGCAAGAAGTCCAGGGCGACACTGAACGACCGCAGTTTTCTGAGCATGTCCTGGCCCGAAGTTTTCGCAGCTCGAGGCTCTATCAGCTTCTGGGAAATGAGGACGTAGGGCGACACTGCCTCCTCCATCAGCATCTCGAAAGGCACTAAAAAGGATACCTCGTGCAGTCTTGTTATCTCGTCAAGCTTTGTGTTTTATTATATAAGGCAATCACTTTAAACGTCAACAAAACAAAAAATGAACATATTGATTCTCGCTGCGGTAGCCAAGAGACAAAGCTGATGTCTGTGACTCGGCGGCTCACAGACAGCAGGCGCTCCAAAGTGGCTGAGCCCTTGCCTTCGTGCTTCCAATGGATCCTGGCGTGCAAGCAAAGCACTATGAGCTTGAAGTTCTTCACCAGACTCAGACGCAGGTACACCATTTTTCTGGTCCCACTCAGTCTCGGAAGCTTGACGAAGGGAATGCCGACCCTGTTGGCGACGCTCTCGAACAGGACCTTGCCTTCCCCGACGCCGAACAAGGTGTCCAGCTCCGCCACAATTTGTAAAACTTCCGACGCTGACGGGCTGGAACGAACCGCCCTGGACAGGCAAATATCCGCAACATGAAACCTGTCCCATGCAGTTGCCTCCCACTCCAGAAACAGACCGCTGAGGCCGTCCTCGTGAATGGTTTGCCATAAGCGCTCTGCGACGCCGGAGGATCCATGGGCAGCTGCCGAGCCACCTCGAACGATTTGTCCGTCTCCTCCGACGCAGGCACAACGACCCCGAAGCGAATGCAGACCCAAACCAGCGGGGTGCGAGTCCAGGATCTTCTGGATGAGCGCCTGCAGAGGCTCAAAGTTGTGCCCACCAAATGGCAGTATTTCCGCCCCGACCATTGGGCCCACAAGGCCGCCAGTCGACGGGGAGCATATACACAAGGCGACGACCGCCAGACTGTACTGACGGCTGAAGGCACCTGCATCCATGTTGACAGGGTCAATCAGGAGAGCGAAGTCGCTAGGGATACCCAAGCCGTTCAGAGGCTCCGACCACTGAAGCGCATCCATCTCCTGAAGGACCCTGGCCGACCAGTAGATCGCCTCGTCGTAGAAGCCCGTCAGCGCCAGACCCTGAAGCTGACACTGACCAGGGATGCCAGACGCCTGCTGGGCCTGAAGGTGTCGAGCGACTGCCCTTTCGAAGGAGTTTTGACCCTG